CAATGAATCAACTTCAAGTGTATGTAAGTCTTGTGATTTGTAATTTTAATGTCGAAACGTTGTTATTGATGGAAAGCTTCTTGTTTTGAATAGAGAATAATGTTCAGCTTTTCGTTTCTTGATTTAACTATCGTTCATGAAATTTGAACTTAGAATCTCCTCCAACAAAGTAGAGACTAGATGTCACTAAAATAAACGAAATGACGGTTGATATGGAATCGCCGATAAACTTCCCCCTACAAATATGATACATGTAGATACTTCTACGGGTTAACCTATGTTTCATTTCATGTTTTATACGTACAAATTGAAAGAGAGATAAACGGGTGGAAGCTACGGGAGAAATAATCGCGGCAGATACAAAAATTCTGCCGCTAAACTCCAATGCTGTGAATACCAGAAAAGGAGAAAAGATAATCAAACCGGAACAGCCTTCGGAAGATTCAATCAGAGGCTTGGCCGCAACTAGCACCACTTTTTTGTTTGGATGTATGCAGATTGTTCGACAACGCAGTCAGCTCCCGTTCATGTTCTTCCTTGAGAACGCTCTGTGCGCTTGCTGTCACAATCTTGATGAAAAAGTTCATGAGCATGAGCCACACAACAGTGTTCCAAATCGAACTAAATGATAAGCCCCACTTCTTCTCCTGAAAGCAAAAAATGCGGAAAAGTTATACGTTAAGGACAAGCATGCCCGGTTGTTAAGTACTCGAAACAGAAGTACCAAATTCCTCGGGTTCAGGAACATGTATACAGAATTCAATTTACCAACTGGCCAATAGATTGCCTTCCCCCACTTTCGGTCCAAAATATGCCCGAACAGTGTTGATGGAAAATGAACTTAAACACAACATATGGATGCTAAAGCCGTAATTCAGAAAACACTACCTCGCTGTTAGAGGCGACTGGAGGTGAGGCGTGTATATACTTGTCTTTCACAGTATGTAATTTGGTGATGAGGTCGGGCACAAACAAACCAAATCCAGGGAAAAAGCTGAACAACCAAATCAATTTATTTTCTAACAAGTCGAGAAGCTGATTGTTGCAAACTGAGATGATGAAAACTGTCTGCAATTACAGGGCAACATAACCGCCTCAATTTATGTAAAGTTATGCATTGTTGAATGCAAGGAATCTTTAAATAGGAAACTATAAACCTCGGTAAGCACGTTCGGTAGATATAAAAACAAAGCAATGTTTAAACATCTGATTCGATCCAATCAGTGGTGCACAGATTGTATTAGAAACAGTTCTTAGAACTCATCATAAATGAAGCAAAACACCTCAAAATAACAAGATAAAACCTCTGCCAGGACGATGAGGCATCAAGAGGCTTCAAAATTTGATATATCTTATAAGTTAACAAACCTGTATGTGGGTCTTAATAAATGCCTTTCCAATCAATGTTGCTAGAAAGAACGTCCAAAATCGAATGCCAAATTGTCCACACAATATACCAGCAAGGTCAAATAGAGGGTTGGGCACCTGAAATTTATTTTGAATAAACATCCTTAAAGGTCTCAAAAATATTTATAAAAAATAAAAAAAAAAAAAAAAAAAAAAAAAAAAAGAGCCAAGAAAATAAAAAAGTGCTGCACTGCAAAAAGGATAAGTACAACATGTGTTGAAAGAACGTTGCAACTCCACGGGTATAAGTAGCATTAAGAAAGAAAAATTACCGAAGCAAGAACCAATATAGTTAAAAAGTTCAGATATTGTGTATGTGAAAGAAGCCATGATTTCATCAGGTTGAGGCGACTAGCTACCATTCCACTGTCTTCAGTTGATGAAGAATCCAATTCTTTCATGACTTCCAATTTTTGACCAGATATACTAGCTGCACTTAAGTATAGATAAGGAGAAATTGAGAAATTTGTTCAGGGAAAAATTAGTGGTTTAAAATTTCAAACATATCCAACTCACTGATCCTTGCAGTATGCAGTCAGATTAAGGAATCCAGAAAATTATCCTGACTTGAAAAGGGCCATGAAGTAAAATATGAACATCGCCACATGCGTGCACACATACACAATTTTCATTATATTGCCTACAGTTCTGAATTAAGTAATAGCCAGATAGAAATGCTACCAGGGTACCTATGATATATGTCCACAAATTGAAATTGTAGTAAACTATTCAACCAACGGCAGGATTATGAAACTCTCAACTACCCAGAAGTACATAAAAATTGATACTTTAGAAATGTAGAATGTTAAGGCACGTTATGATCTTTGTACTTGCAAGAGATGCATATATACAAATAGAACATAGATAATGTGAAACATTATACTAGATGAAGTTTTTCTAACAGGTTGTTCTTGACTAGATATTGCTTAATACAAAGATGACAGAACTTATCCACAACATACTTAAATAGTAGGCACAATAACATAGCTTCTTGTTTTGTACTCACCAGCTCTTGATATGAAATAAGGAGGAAGCTCCCCCAGTGCAGTTCCAACTCCCCATAGAATAGCCTCTAACTGAACCTGAGGCAATATACTGCTAAGCGGAACCCTTGAACCGTGCTGTGATAACAACAGGGGTGTACCATATTCAGAGCATTCTCTATCCAGCCATGAAGGACCACTTCTCCACTGAATGGTGTCATATGAAGCACTTTTTATGTCAACTCTGCCACAGTGCACGGCTTTCATGGTAAACAGAGCTACATGAGGCCCCAAATACAGCACAAACGTGTGCAAACCAGATCCTGCACAAAATAGTGATACAACAAAAATCATTCAGAGTTTTGTGACAAACGTGCTACTGCAGAATTTAAAAAATAAAAAAATCAATTGCTACTTCTCCATTTGGTTTAGTGTGTAATATAAATATGTTTCTACACGAGAATTTGGAGACAGCGCAAATCCATCAACCTGAAATTCACAGTTTTCATGCTATTTTGAATATAACTCGCACTTACCAAGACCAATAGATGATGCTACACCAAGAGCCAGCCACCAGAGTCCAAATTGCAAATAACGAATAAGCTCCTGGATATGCTGCATTTTGATTAATTATAAAATCAATAAAGGAAAGTCCAAAAGTACATCAACATTATGCAAGAAACATGCCCGATAATGCATATATAATGCAACATTCATGGGAAATCTTTATCCCAACAGCTCATACAAACAATATTAAGCAAACTATATTAATCAAACAACGGTTACTCTAACTAAAAATCTAAATGCAACTGAACAAAAATGTAGCCCTGCGAGTAAATACCTCTTGTTGAGGTCCACCAACTGTCGCAGTGATCACTCCTATACCTCCTGCTAACATAATTAGAAGCAGAAACCAACCACCTCTCGCCATAAAACGCCGAACATATTGGCCAATAGCCAAATTGAAATACTTTAATGTCTTTAACGGCTGTGTTGTAAGTGTTAAATTTTCTAGTTCCTGGTGATGCTTCAACCGGAGTCCTGCGAAATTCAAAGATTACAGACAACCTTCACATTTTCAATCTGAAAAGTGAAACAAATAAAACTACTTTCCTCAATTGGAATTTGATTACACATTTAAAGAGTTAAAAGAAGCAAACTTTTTGTTTTTATTTACCTACCCATAAAAGTTTGATTTCCATTTTATTTAAAAACGTACAAAAATTGAAACCTTCTGTTTCCATTTGATTTCCCCTTTCATAATTAGCTACAAAATTATAAAAATTAATTAATTAAATCCAGATTATTATTTTTGCTTCCCGAAAATTTAAAATTACACACCCCCACAATGTGATTGTGTAATTGCAGAGAAAATTATGAAAGGAATTGAAGAAGCTGCGTGCGAATTAACTCACCGGAAACGGAGGAATCCGTGGAATTCGACGAGGCTGCGTCGGTGGGACCCATTCAAAAACCCTATAAACTGAATCGATACGTGCGATTTGGGATTTTTGGATTGGAAATTAGGGATTCGTAGAGAGAGAAATAGCGCGAAAACTGGAATCGAGCTGCCGGGACGCGCAGAGAGACAGAGAGAGAGAGAAAGAGGACGGTTTAGCGGGCTTGTTGGAGATTTGGAATAATTTAGTGCGGCGGAGAGCATGTAGGAGATTTGGAATAATGTGGTGCGGCGGAGAGCATGTGGAATCGCTCTGAACGGCTCTTGGAAAGTGCCACGTATAGTGTAGGTTTTGACTTGGGTCGGAATTCAGTTTCTTCCGTTAGGCTGACTTGGGCAGTCGTGACATAGGCAGATGGACTTCAAACCGACGACCGTAGAAAGGAAAACTTTGATGATAGTGGTGAGATTTGTGTTCGTAGTTTAGTATAGATTATGTCTAAGAGACATGTCAAAACTTACGAACCAGAACATGTTCAGAAAGACAGTTTTATTTTCGGATTTAAGATATAAGAAGAGAGAGAAATCAAAATATTTGTAAGTTTTTTTATTTCAAAATATTCGATAGATCAATGCAATCATAACCATTAAAACGAGTTTAACCTAAGGGTCTAAATAGAGTGTAAAAATAATTGTCTCTTGATTCTATCTATATATACTCGCATATGAGCACACACAATGTGCGTGAGAAAATTTTTTATTTTTGTTTTTAAAATAAAAGAAGAGAGGAAGAAAGTGATAAAGAATGTGAGAGTAGGAAGTTTTTTTTTTTTTTTAAATTAGAGATATGTTAAGATTGCATATAGGGAACAAATCTATGACATCATTTTTTTAACTTTTTGGCATACGTCATTATGGGGCTCGCTTCGTAATTATTTCAACGATCCGAATCGTCTATCTTTTAGATATTTCATAAAAAATCATACCTGATGGATTTTGGTCTCCATCACTTAGCCACCCCTACAAGTAATTTTGATAAGTTGTGGTAGACTTCTTCCAAAGAAAATACCGATGACTTGGCACCTGTAACAATCTATTCCAATTTTAACGGAAAGACTAAGGTATTTTCGTGAAATTTCATCTGGGCTAGATTTTTTTCATTTAAAATTTGTTTTTGGTCTTAATGGGTGTGCCAAGGGCCCACCCCCTGATTTGTGTCCCCCGACCTTTCTCTCTGTGTTCTCTCTCAGTTCTATCTTCTACCTCACTCTCCCTTATCGCCCCCCCTCGGCTCTCTCTATCTCAGCCCCTCCGCGGGCTTTTCTCATCAACAAACAACAACATCAACATCTCCATTAACACCCTAGTGAGCTTAGAATCGAAAAAGAACATCCCGAACCCCTCCCTTTCTCTCGTCCTACACTGTTCACCGAAGTTCTCCGGCGAGTTTTCTCCTCCTCCGGCGAAGGTAAGCCTTGAACCTCGTCCAAAAGTTATAGATCATGTCTTAGTGTATGTTTGGAAGTGGTTTTAAGAAGTTTTATCGATGTTTGGACGTAGGAACCTCACGGGGGAAAACTTCCCCAGTTTTCCAGCGAGCACCGCCCCTTTCGAGGCAATTTCCGGCCAATCCACGATGAATTGGCCGGCGTGCAAGGTATCAATCTCTTCGTCTCGCTGAGTACTACAACTTTTCTTTTTTAATCACCCAATTTCGTTGAGTATTGAAGAAGTTATAACCATTTGAATCTTACCCAGTTTCCAGCAACCTCCGAGACTTTCAAGGCGTTTTCCGGCCAAACCATAAAGATTAGACGTCGTGTGAGGTACCATTCTCTTCGTCTCATTGAACACTATGATTTTCTCTTTTGAATCACTTGATTTCGTTGAGTATTGACAAAGTTATAAACGTTTAAAGTTTATCCCATTTTCCGGCTAAAATCCGGCCTTCTTCTTCAATTGGGTCCGGCGACCCATGTTTTGAACTCAGGCCGGGCTTTCAAGCCCAAATCCTTTTGAACCAAGGCCCTTCGGGCCGTTTAGAACTCGGGCTTTCTTAATTCTATTAATTAAGCAAGGTTACATGTGATTCTGCAATCTGCATATATCAGCATGAGATGAAAATAAGAAACTTTAGTCTAATAAATTTCTTTGAGAGGAAAAACATTCTCCTTAAAAAGCACACAACGTTAATCGACTTAATCCCAATGTTAAAAATATTTTGTGACTATAAGAAAATTAACCCACGTAAATATGCTAGAATTTGAAATCATCAATCAAAGTAATCACTTAAGCTAGCTAACAACTAATTTTCTACAATGGTATTTTAATTTGCAGCTTTATTAAAAGTATTAATTGAACTAATTCCTTATTGTCATTAAAAAAAGAGTAACTTTTTATTTATGTTATTATATATATATATATATATTTAACGTATATATATGTATATGTGTTTTTCCGAACAACTGCTTTTCAATATATTATGATGTGCCATGCCCTTTACAAATAGACTTTTAGTGCACTTTATGTTTTTAATATTATCTGTGAGCATAAACTGTGGCATGACATTCTTACGTTTTATCTGCTCATTACTACATGTTTGCACGATGTCTCTTAGTTATTTGTATTGTCCTGGGTCAAGGACTAGCTTCACGTGTAGTTCACATGCACCGTTTACATCACTTTGGATCCAGTTAGGTGCCAGCATGTCCTGTTGTATGATGTGTTGGACTTGTATGTGATGCGACTAGCGTAGCTCACGTGATATAGTACTAGAATGTAAAACCAACACCCAACCTATTCTACTGTCTGAATATCTCTGTAGTGGACTTGTGTGCCTACATAAATTAATGAGTATTGTTTTCTCGTGATATCGATTTGAGATTTAATGTTGAGACATCTTGTCATCCTACATCTTACTACATACTATTATTATAATATTTTTGGAAAACCATATACTTGTTTTAGAGGGGTTACACTTTTCAAAAAGGTTTCTACAAAACTTTATTTTTAGGCCCACTCATCCTTGTTTTTCGCCCTTCCAGGATTTTAGTGGCAAAGGTTTCTTGACGACGAGGATGGTTGGCAAAAGCTGCTATGTAGGAGACTTCTCCTTTCGGTATAAATGTTATTACTCTTCATTTATTGCAATTTGTCTATGCTCTGACATCATTTGTGTGATATGGGTTCAATCCCTGCTCACATGCACACTCTAAATTAGTCACTTTTGGGCTTTAATTTATTCATATTTTCCACATCACTACACTTTTATGGCTTCGTCACCTCTTAGGTGTCAGTTAGCACATCGCGATTCTGGTGTCTAAGTGGACATTTCGGGTCGGGGTGTGTCAAAAACCTCCCAAAAAATTATATAAAATAAATGAGTACAAATTTATATAAATTTATTTTAATTTTGTAAAATGTTTTAAATTGAGAATTAATTAGCAGATTAATGAAGGTGTGAATATTAAAGTCCTAAATCAATTAACCAATTTTTATTTAAAAAAAAAAAAGTTATATAACTGACAAGTAAATACATTAATACATTAAATTTAGGAATTTCGATCAAAACCTGAAAACTAATAAGGTCTATCAACAGAACATGAACAGCTAGAGAAAGAATACTAATTTTTCCTCATCTTTATATAATAGATTTTGATGGTAGGAGGATGATTGCAATGACACTCTTCAATTAAACGGCTAAAATATGATTATATTGTGTTAGGTCAACAAATATGATTCATTGCCAATGCTTTATATCTTATTTTTATAACAAAATAGCAAAGTTTATTATATACTTCTTCAATATCACTTAAAACGGTCAAGAGCGTTTGTCCTTGCATATGTGATTCTACGTTTGAATCACTCTTTATCAATACCGCTTTATATCCCCAAAAAAAAAAAAAAACACAAAACTTCAACCCTACAGCCAAGACGCCAAAACGTCAAATTCAAAGATACAATATTTACATGTATTTAATACAATTATTATCTGATAGTCACATATAATTCATATAAATGTATGTATTTAATACAATCACTATCCGACCGGACTGACCGTTTAGATGATGATTGTATTAAATACATATAAATATTGTAGCCAAATCCAGAAAATCAAACCAACAAGTCTGAAGTGGCAAAACTAGAACAGACCTAAGCTGCACAGGCAACACACGCTTGTAAAATTCTTAAGATTACAAAATGACTGGATGTTTAAGTCATCACCAAGTCAACACCGGAAAAAAAAATTAAACATTTATTGGATAGATTAGTTGGTGAAGTGTAAAAAAAGACCATCACATTAGGCCAAAGACTGACCTGGAAATAAGCACCTAAGTATTTTTCTACACATACATACATTGAACATGAGCTCACAAATTCCTTAAATATAGCACAATTACACATCCGTCTCTCATTCTTCACACTAAGTGAGAAGTTCAAACCTAAGTTTTCAAACCTTCTCTATATTTTCGACTTTTATTTTTGAGTTCTTGAAGCGGACAAAGATGCTGCATTGCAAGTATCTCAATCCTCTGAGCTTCAAGACGAACTCAGTTGTTGCAGCAACAACCAACACAATCTCTCTATGTTTCTTTCTATTCTCTCGCCCAGCTAACAAGCAAGCTCTAAACCGCCCATCTATCTTCCCAGTTCTGTTGCCTACGAGTACTATGAAAATGCATAGTTTCTCGTCGATGACCGATGTCACGACATCTCCTCGAACGTTGACTTTAGCTTTGGCAGCTGCCAAGACATCCCAGAACAGCACGACTGTTGATGAGCCACGCCCCACAGAAATGGAGGAGAAGAAGATGGAAGTTGAGACGGGTTACAAGGGCAAGAAGATCAAAGGGAGAGTGGTGTTGATCAAGAAGAATTTTCTGGACTTTAACGACCTTAAGGCGTCCGTGCTTGATCGTGTTCATGAGCTGTTTGGTGAAGGGGTTTCGTTGCAGCTTATTAGTTCCGGTGAGATTCCCTTCTTGATAAAAATATTTATTCGTAAATTGTTGAGTAAGTATGTATCTGTTTAAGAATGCTGCTTTACATTTTCATACCAGAACCCGAAAAGAGAAAACAGAACATTTGGAAGCCAACTACCAGTCTAACTGATTAGACGGGTAAACTCTTACCTTTGGAAGCCAACTACCAGTCTAAGCCACCGGTTTAACCTGAAAATGAAACACCATGCAACTGGACATGGCTTTCAAACCTTTTTTTTTTTTTACTACGGTTTACAACTTTTACCACATCCAATTCCTTTTTTCCTTGAATATTCCTAAGTAACCGAAGAAAGTTGAGGTTCCACCATAAAATAAATGGGTAATATGGGGAATAGCGCCTAACATGTAGACAACACAAATGGTGACGTGGAGCGCATGTGACCGTTTGGCTTCACACGTGGGACAACATGCTTTGGTACCATGAATGAAGTTGAGGTTCCACCATAAAACCAATTGACAATATAGGGAGTAGTCCAACTTACTTATAAGCCCATACAAGACCCCTCCTCCCATCAATGTCGGACTCGTTCTCAACAGAAACAACTTCAGATTTGTTCATAATAAAACTTGAGCGAGTTTGGCTGTGTGTTAACCCCTTGCAGTCGAGTTCAAATTCCACTCCCGGTAAATTAAAGTAGTCTGTAATATCAGGTTGTAAAAGATGAAAAAAAGGAACTCTTGAATGATAATTATTTTATCACTAAATAATAGATGTGTTTTTGTAGAAAATGGGTTGAAGGGGAAACTTGGAAAGCCAGCATACTTGGAAGATTGGATTACCACAATCACATCTTTAACACCAGGAGAGTCTGCATTCGAGGTTACATTTGACCATGAAGAGGAAGTAGGAGTCCCAGGAGCATTCTTAATAAAAAACAATCACCACAGTGAGTTCTTCCTCAAGACTGTCACACTTGAAAATGTTCCCAGCGAGGACCGTGTACACTTCGTTTGCAACTCTTGGGTGTACCCTACTGAAAAATACACCAAAGACCGTGTTTTCTTCGCCAACAAGGTAACAAATGATTTGCACGTTTCATTAGTGTCTGATGTAGTTTTTTTTTTTTTTTTTTTGTGAGGTTTAAAATATATGGTAAAAGCTCATGCCTGCTATATGTTTGTGCAGACTTATCTTCCAAGCGAAACACCACTGCCGTTGCGCAAATACAGAGAAGAAGAACTAGTACATTTGAGAGGAGATGATGAAAAAGGAAAAGGAGAGCTCCAAGAATGGGACAGGGTTTATGACTATGATTGCTACAACGATTTGGGGAATCCTGATAAGGGTGCCAAATATGTCCGTCCTATTCTTGGAGGGTCTAGTGAGTACCCTTACCCTCGCCGTGGAAGAACTGGCCGGCAAAAAACTAAGACAGGTTAGCCATTTGTAAATACTACTCCTTTATTTTTAGAGTTACCATAGTTTATCTAGTTTTCGATTAATGATGATTATCTTTAGTGTTAATGTTTACCAAAAAGTGTAAGACTCGATATACTAATTTGGATTTTAATGAACTGGAGATGTTACGATCACTAATTTTTCTGATCTTATTGCAACAGATGAAAAAAGCGAGAGTCGTCTGCCGCTTGCTGAGAGCTTAAACATCTATGTGCCAAGGGATGAACGATTTGGCCACTTGAAGTTGTCAGACTTCCTGGTTTATGCCCTGAAATCCATAGCTCAGTTCATTCAACCGGAGCTAGAATCCTTGCTCGATCAAACTCCTAATGAGTTTGACAGCTTTGAAGATGTCCTTAAGCTATACGAAGGAGGCATTCCATTGCCTGAAGGTTTATTAAAGCATATTGGAGACAGCATCCCCTTGGAGATGCTCAAGGAGATCTTCCGAACTGATGATGCAAAGTTGCTCAAATTCCCAATGCCTCAAGTGATCAAAGGTAACAACAACATTTTGAACTTAGAGGCTTACAAACAATGGCCTACAAAAATAAAGCACTATTTCTTTCGTCTAAGTTCTAACTCCGATGCTTTGATTTGTCAAAGAGGATAAGTCTGCTTGGAGGACTGATGAAGAATTTGCAAGGGAAATGCTGGCTGGAGTGAATCCTGTCAACATTCGTCGCCTCCAAGTAATCTTCATGTATCTTTTGTGTGATTTTTTGCAATGATAATGAAATAAAGAGACCCGAGCAATAAATAACAATCTAAATGTCAAGTTTATTATTCGTTTCGTCTCTAATCACACTTACTTCTAATCAAATTTTAGGAGTTTCCGCCTGCAAGCAAGCTAGATCCAAAAGTTTACGGTGATCAAACCAGTACAATAACCGAAGAACATATAAAGAACAACTTGGATGGACTAACTGTGGATGAGGTAAAATCTTTGATTCATTTCGTTTGAAAGTTAAGAGAAAAAAAACTCACATACCAATGCTGTTACTTTGAAATTAGATTATTATGTTGGTTCTGCATCAAATTGTAACGATGAAATTATTTGGTTGAACAGGCACTCAAGAACAACAAGTTATTCATACTGGACCATCATGATTCTCTGATGCCATACCTGAGGCGGATAAACTCAACTTCAAACAAGATCTACGGAAGCAGAACTCTCCTGTTCTTGCAAAATGATGGAACTTTGAAGCCATTGGTGATCGAACTGAGCTTGCCTCATCCCAATGGAGACCAATTCGGTTGCATTAGCAATGTCTACTCACCAGCAGAACAAGGTGTAGAAGGCTCCATATGGCAACTGGCTAAAGCTTATGTGGCTGTAAATGACTCTGGATACCATCAGCTTATCAGTCACTGGTTGAACACTCATGCAGCGAGTGAGCCAGTTGTAATTGCTACGAACAGGCAACTAAGCGTGGTTCACCCAATTTACAAACTTCTGCATCCTCATTTCCGTGATACGATGAATATCAATGCATTAGCCAGGCAAATCCTCATCAATGCTGGCGGTATCCTTGAGACGACAGTTTTCCCTGCTAGGTATGCCATGGAGCTGTCATCAGTTGTGTACAAGGATTGGAATTTCACCGAGCAAGCTCTCCCTGCAGATCTCATCAAAAGGCAAACACAAAATCTATGATTTCTGACTTTAAAATTATTTCCGCACACTTTTTTTCTCTGCTGGCAAACCCTGTGTATTTCTAACTTTTGAATTGAATAAATCAAAAGAGAAAGGGGCATTAATAAGCAGTGGTGTGCAGAAGAAGAAAACGAGGCGCGGAAATTATTTACCATAGTGATAATATTCATTTCTTGTTTTAATTATAATGCTTTGCCTTTGATCAAATTAGAGGAGTGGCAGTGAAGGATGCAAATTCTCCACACGGTCTTCGCATACTGATCCAGGACTACCCGTATGCTGTTGATGGGATTGAAATCTGGTTTGCAATAAGAACATGGGTTGCAGACTACTGCTCTTTCTACTACAAGACCGACGACATAATCCAGAAAGACACCGAGCTCCAATCCTGGTGGAAGGAGCTAGTAGAGGAAGGGCACGGTGACAAAAAAGACGAGCCCTGGTGGCCGAAAATGCAGACTCTCGAAGAGCTAGTCGAAATCTGCACAACCATCATATGGACTGCTTCTGCCCTCCATGCAGCTGTCAACTTTGGACAGTACCCTTACGCAGGATACCTTCCCAACCGCCCTACAATAAGCCGAAAATTCATGCCCGAAAAGGGAACTCCTGAATACGAAGAGCTTGAGTCCAACCCCGACAAGGCGTTCATGAAAACAATCACTGCTCAGCTGCAGACACTGCTTGGCATTTCCCTCATTGAAATTCTGTCTAGGCATTCAACTGATGAAGTGTACTTAGGGCAGCGAGACACACCCGAGTGGACTGCAGACGCCGTGCCGTTGGAAGCTTTCGACAACTTTGGAAAGAAACTGGCTGAGATTGAGGACAGAATTACAAGTATGAACAATGATGCGAAGTTGAAGAACCGGGTCGGGCCGGTGAAGGTGCCGTACACATTGCTGTTTCCTACTAGCGGAGGAGGACTTACTGGCAAGGGAATTCCCAACAGTGTCTCAATCTAAAGCTTCTGTGATTCTTTCTGCTAATAACAACTGTTTGAGTTAGTTTTTGGGCCCTTAAGCTACTAAATTATAAAAACAAAGCAGTCTCAGCATAACAGAAATTTGGTAGTTTATACCCTGGTATGATTTTTTTTTTTTTCTGAATGCCTCTCTCTCTATCTGTTTCAGAATTAAAATAAAAATCATCACAACAGAGAAAAGATTTTGCAAAAACCAAAAACACTAAAAATTGAAACAGTCAACTGCCTATATAAAATGGTTTAAATTTGTCTCAAACTCTCACCATTGTACCATAAAATAATGGGGAGTCCTACACCTTGTGAGAGTCCAACACAAACATCTGTGTTGTTGCTTTGGATTACTACTGTCAATTTGTAAGACTTCAAAGATAATGTATATAGGCATGAATCCGTCACATCATTTTTTTCACATAAGTTTTGACACACGTTTTTGTGGAGCATATTTCAAAATGTACTTTAGCTATCCGAACCGTCTATCTTTTAAGTTTTCCCTCACAGATCATGTCTATTTTGTACCATAAATCACTCAAATCTGAAACCATATGACCATTGGATTAAGGGTTTAGGGTTTCTTTGTATAACAGTATTTGTCCATTCTGCACTACAAATGAATGTTTTAATGATTTTGGATCTATATAATTTTTTTCTTTAAATGATTTATAAATAATATTCTGAAAAATAAATAATTCGAATTATTAAAATACATTAAGTATGTGCCTCACAAAAACATATGTTAAAAATTGTGTAAAATAGGTTGCGCCATGGTCCACCCCGTAAATATAGGTTAATAGTGTTTAAATATTTAATGAGTGAAACCTTGACAAGTCCAAGAAAAGAACTTTGCAATTTCATTGCATATCTAGGGTTTTACACTTTTACTTGACTTGGTCTAGTTGTCTTCTACCATGTGGCTTGACTTTTTTTTTTTTTTTTTTTTTTTGAACGATACCATGTGGCTTGACTATAAACTTATAATGTGAAAGCTGAGGTGGATACGACTTTCATTATTTAAATTTAATTTAATCAGTAAATTAATTTGTTTCAGACAAGTTATATATGTTCTTCAACTTCATAGATGTTGATACAAATGGGAACACAATTTGCTAAGGCTTTTGCATTATTTATTCATAAGTTCATACCTATTGCATGTAAACTGTCTGTCTAATTCCCATTGACATTTGATCACCTAAAATCAATATATATATATATATATATATATATATATTTATTTATTTATATTTTAAGTGCAGAAGAAGAACATAGCTAATTATGTGATAGGTTTTATTAAAAGTGGTTTTGACTTGGTTTTGATGAATTTTTAAAGGGTGAGAGTTTGACTTTAAGTCCGCCTTGACTTATTGTATTTTTTTTATTAATAAATTCATCTCGTAGTCACTTTCTATAATAGTAATGTTGGAGTTAGATTGACGTTGTCGCTATAAAAAAAAAAAAAAAATTGGAGTAATAGTCTTCAACTTTAACTCAATTGGAGTAATAGTCCCCCAACTAAAAATCTATGATCATTAGTCCCTTAACTCATCAAAATGTGCAACTATAATCATTTTCGTCAACTTTGTTAGAACTTCCATCAAAATAAGTCACGTGCCACGCATGTGAGATTGAATCAAGGGGCAAATATGAAAACCAAATCAAACAAAATTGTAGCAATAGTCCCTCAACTTTAACCCAATTGGAGAAGTTATCCCTCAATTTTAACCCAATTAGAGCTATGGTCCTTCAACTTTAATCTAATTGTAGTAATGGTCCTCCCAACATGACTTATTTTGACAAAATTCTGATAGAGTTGACGAAAAGAACAAAAGTTGCACGTTTTGATGAGCTAAGGGACCAATGGTCATGAATATTTAGTTGAGAGACCATTGCACCAATTGAGTTAAAGTTAATGGACTATTTCTACAATTTTTTCTATTAAAAAAAACAATAAAAACAGAAAAAAAAAACCTAAGCAGGTGGCATTTTACCACAGTAGTGGAAAGATGTTGAGTCCTTGCGTGACGACGTGTGTTCAAACTCTGTCAGTAGCTAATCTAATTTCTAATCTAACAAAATCTATCGTTTGACCAAAAAAAAAAAAAAAAAAAGCCTAGCTACTTATGTGGATTATTAAGCATTTTAATATTTGATTTATATATAGTTGTTGGGTAGGCATGTATCGAGTGACGCTATAAAGATCAAATTTTTAAATCATCTTTCGTAAACTAGATGATTTGACAATTGATAGTTGAACTCTTTATTTAAATTATTAAAAAATGACTTTGACCATCAATCCCAAATCACGTAGTATACAAAAATAATTTACAAATTTAATCTCTATAGCATCTTCTAGCATGCATTACTCACAAAGACACTGGATTCTTCAAATGAATAAAGAAAACCCAAATAAGATTTAAAACCTGTGAAAATTCTTTTTAAAATATGACAGCTTCGTTGAATTTTTATTTTATCAATATTAGATTTTTTATAGAAAATATTTTATGGTAGGTGAAGGATGACAATTACACCTTTAAACAGGACACAATATGAATCCATAATGTTGATTCCGAGTCTGAGTCTCTGACAACGAAATAAAGAACAGAAAAGAATTTATGTGGATACAGCATTCTTAGGTTGATCAGATTTATCCGAAATTTTGTGTGGCGGTCATGAAATTTTAATTATGTATTATATTTATATTATAATACTTAAGTTGGTAATAATGCTTACGTGTTGGAAAGTGTGACTATGAAACCGCAGAAATTTTTCTTTATGTGAGGCGACAGAGCTGTAAACAATTGACACGGAAAGCGATCTTCTCAGATCCCTTTCACCTAATTTTTTTCATCAAGTAATTTGAATCTTTAAAATTTAATCAGACGGTTAAAATTATTATAATTTTTAGAATAGGCTTCTGCTTATAATGGTTTAATCAAATTTTAAAAGTTCAAATTGTTTAATGAATCCGGAGATGAACCCCATTTCCATTGAAACACATATGTAAACATTAGGAGTTATCACCATCATCATTTATCATTGAAAGTTCAGACTATTATGATACTATCACCAAAATGCAAGAGTGGGCCTTTTAAGTTGGTGAATTCAAAGACCCCACATTGATGAGAAATATACTTTGTTGGGTTTCTTCATTGACTCTATTAAAACTGGGTCTTCGTGGAATCTGAATGCATGGTTCTCGTTATGTATGTTTTTTGATGAGTAACTAACGCGTTACAGAAGTTTCTACTTAAGAATTTTTTAAATTGATTAAGTGTACAAATTGTTCTTTGATGTGACAGAAATATCAATTATATTGTCACCAAATACTACAAAACTTCGATGATTTTATTAGTGTAGGAGAATCCGGTCAGAATTCTTTTGGACTAGATTTTATAAATTCATCTATATTAGGTTTATTTGTACAACTAGTCGCTTGACTAGTATATATTTTGTATATTATAAATCTCTATGGACTTAGGTAAACGTGTACTCACGATTTATTTCCAAATATACCATGTTGGAAACTTTGAATTATATACTGTCACCGACTTGTGAATTTGTGGTGCAACTAAATGGTGTATTTTAGGCTTTTAACTTATGCAAGTAACTTTCTACAAAGTATTGAATAAAGAACGTGAAAGAGAAGACGATCTGTAATTGCCTATTTTCTAGAGAACCTAACTATTGTTGAAATCTGTCTATATTTGTTGGTGTGGTAAATGAGAGTTTCTAGGGTTATTGCTTAAGGCAATTCTCTTACCGGATAGAACTAACGCGATTACGTATTAAAATTTGAGCATATAACTCAAAATTAATTGGCTCATTTTTTGACGTGGAATTACAATCTTTACACTTAACGAGATCAAAATACAAGAGATCCTATTATTTTGTAAAATTAATATAATCATTAACGTAATCAGACAGTTCAACCGAAAATTTTACCTTGATAGGGAGGGTTGAAGCTACCTTAAAAGGACTAAAACATTAAATCAACCCTAGAAACAGATAAACACCGAATAAGTTGGTGAAGTTTAAAGACTATCCACTTTCTCCCGTTTAAAGACCAAAACATGAAAAATCAAGATTTCTAGTACTCATTCATTCAAATGAGAAAGACTGTTATAACAAAGATATATCGTTCCGTGACGATTCATATCAATTTACAATGATATGTAAATTTTCACATATAATTGTATTATTGTCAGAAAATGCTATAATATTAGTATAGCCATGCATGGAAATTAGTCTCAACTCAACGAGAAATTTTTCAATGTACCATAAATACAGCCTGGTACACCAAGTGTTATAATATAATTGGAGATAAGTGTAATAGTACAAATGGTTTGACCACTTGTATAATAACGCTTTGTAGACTGGGCTGTGTTTTCTGAAACACTAAAAAATCTCTCCAATTCAACCAGAAAATTTTCATTGTGCACGGAACAAAAATGATACACCACATGTTATTATATAAGTAGAGGAAAGTTTTATTTTTCAACACAAGTACCTCATCACTTGTATAATAACGTGTCATGTATCATTCCGTGTTCCGGACATGAAAAGCTTTCCAATTTCACAAAAACTGAATGACCCATTAAAAAATTGGAGGATTATTCTATAATCATTGAACAGTAAGCTCCCGGTTCCTATAAATACCACCAACCCTTCCTTCACATTCTTCATACTTGTCGGTGAAGTGAGATCTTCAGTTCAAACACCTTTTCTAATATTACTTGCAACTTTTTCATATCTTGAAGCAGACAAATATGCTTCATGTTCTTCTCAAGCAACTCAGTCCTCTTAGCTCAGTTGTTGTTGCAGCAGCAACAACCAACAATCCAGATCGTTCCACGTCGGTCATTGGCAGACCAGGGTTGCTTCAAACGACTGATCCCATGAAAGTATTCCCAGCTGGTGTCTTGTGCATGACTGATGTGGCACGATCTCAGCCTTTGACTGTGGTTTCATCAGCTGCAAAGCCATCCCAGACCATCAACGTTGATTATCGCCAGAAAACTGGGGAGAAGAAACTCCGAGGGACAGTTGTGTTGATGAAGAAGAACGTTTTGGAGCTCAACGACCTCAAAGCTTCAGTTCTTGATCGTTTCG